ACTTTTCTTTAAGATAATTTATGATTTGGCTCATATTCTATGACATAATCACATGATAAGCGTTTTATCAACTTGATATCGGCCTGTTCGTTCTTTAAAATAAGACGAATATACAGACTGTATTTTTGGCAATCAATTCCGTAAGCCGTTTTAAAGATGTTGGTGAAAGTACCTAATTTCAGAGCAAGGGCGCCAATTTGTAGGCAACTTTAAGTAAAAGAAGTTTTTTAAGAATTGCACACTAGGATCCCGAACGTTGATTGATTGATTGATTAGTGGTTGCTTAACTTCCAGTGGCAAATATTTCATGCATGTTCAGAACGGACGAGAACAAATTAACAAGTGATACAAAAGGTAGCTCCTGTAAAAGAGGCCGTTCGGGATGAAGGTCGGGTAGATAAACTCATCATATATACCAGGATTAAAGTTTTGAACGCCAGGCGAGCGTTTCGTCTACAAAAGACTCATTAGTGACGCTCAAGTCATAAAAGTTTAACGGAAAAATTAAGGTATATTTGATAGCTGAACGTCGAAAAATTTTAAATGATAAAATATAAATCTTATCAGTAGTACCTTCTTTATTAAATTCTCCTCTTTTGTGAGATCAAGATCAATTTTTGTATTCGTTTTATACAGATGACAATTGAGCACTAACCTAGTGGTCTTTCTGTCCTCAACACGTTTGGCCATTTTTATATCACAATCTGTCAACAATATATCTGTTTAAAAAACCTTTTAGATACATATATTTGGTTACATTTATATTTTAGTCTTTCTACCTTTTTACCATGACACGTATTCTATCTATATTCATTTAATTTATTTTATGTATTTGTTTAATGCAAACTTATCTTTTATTGTTATAGTGATGCTTTAATTAGTCAAAATTCCAAAATTCAACATACCGAACTTGTTTAAATCATTCTAATAAAGTCGCACATCAAACTTGACTACATTTCTATTAAAGCATAAGTTCGAGGGCTTCTAAAAAAACAAAAACAAAAAACACAAAAAAACAAAAACAACTATTTTGTGGTAAAAGAGAGGCGAAAGATACCAAAGGGACATTCAAACTCATAAGATCGAAATAAACTGACAACGCTATGGCAAAAACCAAAAACTGGGGTTGGTAAGCTACCAACATAACAATAAACAATTCTTGGACTTAAGTAAAACATAATGAATACATATATAAGATAAATTACTTACTATATAGCTCCTAATATTGCAAATATTGCAGTGTATTTAGTCTTCTTTGGATTTCAAATATTTGAATAAAATTCACAGACACCATAAACAAAAGGTATTCTAGATGTGTCACACTGTTTTTGCGCCTCTGTTCACTCTATGTCACGCTTGAATAATTGAAACAAACATTATACTCTTTACTTTTATTTTGTTTTAATTTGGAGGAAAATTGTAATTTGCTTATAATGTCTACGATTTTGTAATAAATACATAACCGGTGGTGTAACTTTCATGTACGCCTTCATGCAGGACCAGAGACACTGTCTCAACAGCTTACATAAAAATGTCCCTTTTAGTATTTTTTCACAATATAGAACATCCGTTTCAATTTACATTTGCCACATCGTTTGTTTAAGTAATTTGTTCTTGTTTCGTCCATTTATTTAAAGGCAATAATAGTTTACCGATGTTCAAATCTCACCAATCCTTTTAGAAGATTCAAATCAAGGTTAAAAAGATCTCAGAGGGAATCGCATGTACTCCTAACACAGCGAGACCGGGTAAGGATACAAGGTTAGCTTCTCGCGTTATGTATGCACCAATCGCCATGCGAATCCGAACCCAGTCAAAATGTCACAATCATGTAAGCACACATTGATAAATCTACATATCGGACGACTTTTCGGGTATTAAATATCTTAGGACGCAAAAACATATTGCAAGTGAGTGGAGACACAGATACAACTTATCGGTCAACAAATTTGTGAAGATGACCGTAAATCTTGTGGTGTGTCAACTTCAGTCTTACTTTCCCATAACTCTTTTGGTCCAGGTTTTGTGTAAGGAGCACACCCCTGAAAAAACCAAAGAGCGTACCACATTGTAATAAAGTACTCGTAATATACAACAATTGCGTGATTTAGTTTGACATTTTGTGCTGATTTATGGATTACCAAATGTATTATTCTTTTTCTTTTGGTTAAAACAATGAAATAATTTTTAGAACAATGAAAATTTTGTTTGACACCCTCACAAATGTCTGAGTGAAGGTTTGATAAAAGACAACGTAATAATGGGTATCATTACAAAAGCATCAATAGAAATCAACGAATAAAATATCGTATAAATTATACACTTGATGATCTCCTATCCTGGTAAATTATAAAGTCAGGGATTTCGTTACCACAAATTACTAAAAAAACATTTACTAAATTCTTCCATAGATACAAAGATTTGGTTTTGAAGTTTGACTATACCTATGGAAAACTTATTTCAACTGGATAGCACATTCTAATTTTTACGGAGATGTTGTTTACCGAGCCCGGAAATTAAGATACGATCCGGGTAAACTTATCGATCCTTTAAATAAACTCATTCTAAAAGGTTACCAATTCAACACTGTAATTTGATCTTTGAATGTTGTTTTTATAAATACAAATATTGAATTTGTTATCAGAAAATTAAAATCAAACTACATATTATTTTTATATACATATTCACATTCATGGCTCTACAATCTGTCGATACCTGTATCTTGGCATTGTACAAGGTCATGTTTTTTTTTCTGATTGTTAATCAGTAAATTAAAATCATACAAAATAGTTTTGTTATACACATATGCACTTTAACGGTACTACAATCTGTCGATAGCTTTATTTAGGCATTGCGCAAGGTCATGTTTTTCTCTAACTGTTAATGACGTCTTTACACTAAATCCATTGGATATTGGATGAGTCATGATTGATATTTTAGTCTTAGATGCATTATTTTTTTTATTAGTTGTTATTGGCTTTGAACTAGATGTCATTAACTGCGAGAACTCTCATATCTGTACTTACTGTCTTTTTTGTTGTGGCATGTATAAATACCCTTCCACGTCCGGTCTGTATTTTTGTTAGATGGTTTTTTTTCTGTTTTGTATCGATCTGATGAGTTAAGTCCTTTTCAATTGATCTTTATAATTTGTTCTTATTTTGTAACGTTACACCACTGTCCAAGGTTAGGGGGAGGGTTTGTCGCAAACAAACTAGTTTAACTTCGCCACATTATGTTTGTATGTGCCTGTCCCAATTCAGGAGCCTGTATTTCAGTGGTTGTCGTTTGTTGCTGTATATCATATTTGTTTTTTCGTTCATTGTTTTGTACATAAATCAGGCCGTTAGTTTTCTCGTTTGAATTTGTCATTTCGGGGCCTATTACAGCTGACTATGCGGTATGGGTTTTGCTCATTGTTGAAGTCCGTACGATGACCTATAGTTGTAACCTTCTATGTCATTTGGTCACTGGTAGAGAGTTGTCTCATTGGCAATCATACCACATTTTCTTATTTTTATATGACACCAAATACTGGTTGAAATTATTTTTACACTTTTCGGATTTTGTAACTGATTACTTTGATATTATGATGCGATGAAAGTCATTGCTTTTTAAAAATTGAAATTTATCAACAAAATGCATTTATAGATATAGCTAATTCAATCACATTTAAATACGTCAGAAAAGACATACATTTTCCGTCTATGAAATTTTTTAATAATTCTTAATATATGAAATTGCAAGCGATATAAGACTTGTATTGGAAAGGCTGTACGTATGAAAACGAATGTTTATATTTTGTGTTTATTTTTTAATAATTTGATTTGTAGACACACATGACATTCATATACAATTTTGTGTAGTTTCTGGATAATGATAATGATGATGGATGCCTGTTTAATGTTGGATTGTATGTTAATGCGACATGAATATGAACTCTGCTTTATACTAGACCGACACACTGAGATTTTTGCCGCGCTAGTTCACAAGGTAACAGAAAGATATGTCACCCTATCCAGACACTTCGAGTAGTGCTTAGCAAAGAAGCAGCAAATACCAATTTTAAAGTCATTGGTTTGACCCGTCCGGACCTCCCGCACACGACGCGAGCACGCTACCATGGAACCACATGGGTGGTGTGTAGTTTATGAAAGTTTGCAAGCTTGTTGCAACTACACAATAAATATTTGCGACAAGCAAACGGGACTCATCACAACAGTCGAAAACAAGCTTCGCATAAGTATCAACTATCATGGTTTTTACACATTGATATCGTAAAATAACGATATCTAAACGTAGAAGACCTGGTAATCTATTTATTAGTGTTGTCAAATGGAATAGTTTTGACCAACCGGTTACTCGGTCAATCTTTCGACCGATTAACCGGTTAACCGGTAGTTGAATTCATGTTTTAAAGGTCTTCAGTACTCTACAAATGCACGGTTTTATAATAAGATGAGTTGAAATTCATGCTTGGACATCTGGTTAAGTTTTATTTTTAATAACCCAATACTACCATATCTACTATGGCATTTGTAATAACTTCAGATTGAGAAGATGAAAAGCGTCTAGTTCTCAGCGAACTGACAATGTCTTTAATCGGTGACTCGTATCACACAGTATTATACATTAATTCCATTCACATAATTTGCGTATTAGCCTTTATTGAGTCAGCATTTCGCTTAAAGTATGACAAAGCCTTAGAGGATTGAGGTGGCATATTTTCATATAGGTCTATGTGAGCCAAAATTTGTTCCTGTGAAAAAAGTTCCAGTGGAACTAATATCACAGGAAATATGTTCTGGGAGAACTTTTTTCACAGATATTTTCTATATAATTTGTTCCATTTCTATAAAATAAGTTCCACACTTTACCTGGTGAAATAAGTACCGGGTTGGTGAAATTTGTTCCTTAACTGGTAAAATAAGTTCCGGGTTTATGAGATTTGTTCCTTATCTGGTGAAATAAGTTCTGGGTTTGTGAGATTTGTTCCTCACCTGGTGAAATAAGTTCCTTGTCTGTGAAATATGTTCGACTGGTTAAACAAGTTATCTTATATACTGAGCATTTGTCATCAGTGAGTTTAATGTTATCATTCAAGTGCATTATAAAAATAAGTATTATATCAATAATAAAAAAAGTAAAAAGTGTAAATCATCCAATTCGGATCCTGTGGAGTATAGCAAATGTTTAATTATATACTCCGTAAAAAATATCAAAATGACACTTTTCAGCCAGAAAAGAGTAGGATAAGAAAAATCAATCATTCAGAAAAAAAGTATAGTTAAAGATGAACATATGTACTTATTTGAAAAGGAAAAAGTGACTGATCAGTTATATCAAAAGACATGTAGAAACAAACGACACACTCTTTTGAAACTGTGCTATGACCTAATTACATGTATGACTAGAAAACGGGGCCAAGACAGTTAACAAAAACCAAGGAGGAATACCACATAAAACATAAATACAAATTATGATACATTATCATCACTTTTATTTCTTATCTTCATCCTTTAGTTACAGTCATGCCTTCAATTGCAAATGTATTCCATGCAAGCACACTCAGTACAGCACTCAGCTTGCATTATAATTTAAATGTAACAAGAAAATGTTTCGCTTGCAATTTGTTGCAAAGGTACTTATTTTCTGTGAAAATAGGTTTGAGCGGAACTTATTCATTGATTTCTATGAAATATGTACACGTTCGTTGAAAACAAATATCACAGGAACTTATTTAACTTTTTAAAACTCTTAATATCAATTGGAACAAAATTCATGGAGCTATGATTTTTGTTCCGGAACTTATTTCACATTTGGTCATAAAATTAGTTCCGGAACAAATTTTACAGTGCTGGAACATATTTTCTGTGATATAAAGTCCGGTGGAACATATTTCCTATGAAATTTGTTCCGGCGGAACAAATGTCACGCCGGAACAAATTTTTTGTTACATCTACGCAATATTAAATCAAAGTAAAATAATGATGCAGATCGTAAATTTAATCAGCCTACAACTGTTAAAAATACATGTACGCTTTTTATGTTTTACTTTAGTATTTATCCTTCATATTACTGGTCTACCCCCTCCCTTAGACAATTTCACGATTTACGAAAACAAGCTTGATAACTACCGATTATCAGGTTGTCTGCATATTGATATTGTAAAATATCAGCTGCGAGTCACAATATGAAGCTTTTTGTCGAGTGAGCGCAGCGAACGAGTTCAAAAAGGCTGCATATTGTGTCGAGCAGCTTATATTTTACAATATCAATATGCAGACAACCAGATAATCGATTTATCGGGTTGTATTTGCGTATTTTGCATTATAGAAACAATTGTTTTCTTTGTTTCACCAGCAAACCGGAAGATGACGTGATAAGTGTGGGTCAAACTTATCAACGTGGGTTCACTCATAATGACATCGATGATATGTCCGGGTCAAAGTTAACAAGGTCAGGTCAACGTATTTGACGTCACAAAGCCGTGATATGCAATTTTATTAAGAGCTGGACAGAGTGATACAGGCAGTGTGACGACCGATAACGTTTCCTCACACATTGTGACGTCGCTGATAATGCCTGCTCATTTCTCAAAGCCGTGATACGAGAATTACGGAGCGACTGTGCAGGGTAATATAGTCGAAGGAAAGGACGACAAAAAGATCTATTGGACTATCAATTACCAATTTGCATATGATCAAATAAATTACCCTTTTTATTTTTATTGTATATGATCTTATCAAATACCGTTGTATAAGAAATTACCATTGTACATTGCATATGATCTTACCAATTACTTACTACAAACATATGCTATCTGTACCTGCAATTCAATCATGGATGTGTTTAAATAAATGATAATCAAATCATATGATGACATCTGTGTTGATGTGGAGAATAGAAGAGCAAAGAAAGAGAAAATAAAATGCAACAAATCCAATACATGACAACATGGCCCTATGTAACAGTGAGGGATAAAGGCAAGAAAAAACTTTAGCGTGTGTAACTATCAATTTCACAATCAAATGGCTGTTTTCAAAAAAATTTGATTGATCAAATTCCTTTCCAATGTAGATAGAAATGATCTTTATGATTAAGTATCCGTTCATTTCGTAAACCTTCTTTGGCAGCATCTTTTGAATACACCACGTCTCCATTAGTTAAGTATCCAATCCACCAACCAAATGTTCCTATTGTCATTATTGTATGATCGCAAGCAACTAAAGTTGCCATATCCAATTCTCTTTTCCCTAAAGACGAATATTCAATCGGTACATGTGAAAGCATGTTATCTTTAGACCATTTCATACCGTCGGATATCACAATAAATAAAACAAATTTATATTTTGTAACGTAGTAATTAACTGACCGGTTTAAATATTCTGGTGTTGCTATATTGAAGCCGTCGTGATTACCGACTTTATCACCTCTCCTTATATGAACGCCGACCAAAGTAATATTTTGACGATATTTTATATTTCTTTTCTGTAATATCTTATTAATTTCCTGTTCTGTAGCGTCTTTTATATGCTTCCGGAAGGTCAATTATTTTCAAAGTTGTTTGTCTTATTTATAGAAATATTTCCATATCCCAATTGAATGTTTTTTGATGGACTGAATTCCAAGAGTGTGCTATCGTATGTTAGGGATGCTTTATCTAACACTTTTGGTAATCCTTTACAGAATTGGCTTGTATTTGTGAATGTCACATTTATTTCGAATACTTGTCTAATCTGGGCATTTATGGGACATTCATTTCTTTAGACATTGCAGCAGCGAAAGCTGTAGAAAACTGAAATTATCTATTTCCTAGTCCTCTTGTAAAATTGGACAGATTGACCCTTTCTTTGTCACAATATGTTTGTATGATTTGATTGTTACTATTGTATCTCTGTCTGACGGTACAGCTATAAATGTTTTGTCGATTTTAAAACGAGTTGTCCGAATAACAAATAAACCATAAGTCCTATAAGTATGCCTGAAATAGAAATATTGATAATAAAAAATGCATATTTTTACATCAGGTCCGAGAATTCAAAGATTTGACTTCGTGGAATTTGTATGTACCCATCATTAGGACTTTCGTTAGTTCTACCAAATGATACATTGCACAATGTTTTCATTGTTACTGGTGTTTGTTAGGGCATTTCTTGGGCTCAACAGCTATAGCAAAATGTCGTAAAAAGATTAGCGTTTAAAAGTATAAAGATAGAGAAACAAGAGTCTGTAAAAGGTAAAAAAAACTTATTTAAACATCTATTATTTCGTACGTTATGATAATATCAACTACACAAAATTAATGTTTACGTTATAATAATATAAACTACACAAATGTTTACGTTCATTATCGTTGTTTTGAAGATGCATACTAGTTTTTGGACATAACGGGCAACCAACTCGTGAAGGCGTCCGTAAAATTTACGAAGGGATGATTTCGACTTCCTCACTTAAAACTCTTGGTTTGATAGTTTTTTTTGTGAGCAGCAACTCTCTATCAAGGAATTCATGATAGGGAATGCAAGCCCTGGAATATCGTATCAACTGGGAGATATATATACTCCATATGCAGGCATAAAATATGCAAATTATATCTTTCTCAATAGCCTTACTTATTATTACTTATTTTATTTTATTTATGAGCTCCGTGTATCATACTTGATCCGTTTAATTGACATCATATCGATATACAAAGTGTGATGTTGATGAATATTTTATCAAGCAAATAAAAATCGATATTTATATATTTTTATATGATACTGAATATCGTTAAATCCATTGTTGCTGAAAGTGATCGTCTTATCATTACTAAAAAAGGATTTCTTAAGACTAAAATCTATTTGGTTACATCAGAATTATCAATAGAATAGAGAATGGAAACGGGGAATGTGTCAAAGAGACAACTACCAGACCAAAGAGCTTTAAACAGCCCTAGACAACCAATGGGTCTTCAATGCAACGTGATAATTCCGCACCCATAAGCGGGCTTCAGCTGGCCCCTAAACAATAATGTATACTAGTTCAGCGAAATGGACGCCACACTAAACTCCAAAACATACCAATGAACCAAAATTAAAAAAACACAAATAAAACTAACTAAGGCTAGAGGTTATTGACTTGGGACAGGCGGAAAAATGCGGCGGCGTTAAACATGTTTTGTGAGATCTCAACCCTACCCTATACCTTAAGCCAATGTGGAACAAACAAACTCACAGCAATACGCACAGTAAAAATCAGTTTAAAAGAATTCCGAGTCCGAGGTTAGAATAGATAAAAGAAGAAACTAAGCAAAATGACAATGATCAACATAGATTAACAAAGGACTTCTAGCAATTACTGACATGCCAGCTCCAGACCTCAATAATACTGATCGAAAGATTATGTCTTCATCATATGAAAATCAATCACAATCCCTCCCGTTAGGGGTTAAATATCATGCCATCATAAATTATACGAGAAGAACATTGTCCGTATCATGCCAACAACAGGTTTAAGAATAAATGAGTTTATTTCCGATGCAAATACTCTATGAGTGAATCAATATTAATTCCAAAAACAGTATCGAACCTATATCCCTTGTGAATAAGTCTGTTTAAAGGCTTGGTTAGCTTTTCAGGTAAATGACGACACTTTTGTGCTTTGTATGTACCGATTATCAGGTTGTCTGCATGGAGTTTTTAGCCGAGTGAGCGCAGCGAACGAGTTCAAAAAGGCTCCATATTGTGTCGAGCAGCTGATATTTTACAATATATATATATGCAGACAACCAAATAATCGATTTATCGTGTTGTATTTGCGTTTTCTTTGTTTCACCAGCAAACCGGAAGATGACGTGATAAGTTTGGGTCATGATGACGTCGGTGATATGTCCGGGTCAAAGTTATTTTAGGCCGGGTCAACGTATTTGACGTCATAAAGCCGTGATATGCAATTTCCTTCAGAGCTGAGCAGAGTGATACAGACAGCGAGATGGCCGATAAAGAATATTACCATAAAGGATGGGATGTAAAATACCTGAA